CAAAATTCCAGCGGCAATTTTTTGGTAGAAAATGACAAACTGATTCCAAAATTCATATGGAAATGCACGGCACAGGATCTCCAAAGTAGTCTTGCAAAAGAAGAATAAAGTTGGAGGACTCACACACCCTAATTTAAAAACTATAATTCTAGAATAATCAAAGCTAAGTGGTATTGCCGTAAGGGCAGACGTACATCAATGCGGTAGAACTGAGAGTCCAAAAATAAACTTTTACACCTATGGTTAACTGGTTTTCACCAAGTTACCAAAACAATTTACTGGGGAAAGATTTACTTTCACCAAGTGGTGCTGGCAGCAGAACAAACCTGGACCTTTACTTCACAATCTATTCAAAATGGTCCAGAGAGCTAAATGTAAGAGCTCAAACTATGAAACACAGCAGAAAATCTGCATCACTTTGAATTGGGCAATGTTTTCTCACATAAGACATCAAAAGCACCACCAACTAAAGAAAAAAGTAGACAAATTGGCCTTTACCCAAATTAAAATTTCTGTCCTTCATAAGATGAAAAGATAACATACAAGATAGGAGAAATTTTTTGCAAGTTGTATATCTAGTTAGATATTTGCATCAAGAATATATAAAGAATTCCTATGACAGTAATAAAAAACAACCTACTTTTTTAAATGGCCAAAGGATCTGAAAAGCATTTCTCCAAAATGTACAAACAGTCACTGAGCACCAGGGAAATGCAAGTCAAATCCACCATGAAATACAATTTTACAACCACGGAGATGGGTATAATTAGAGGACGGATAAGTGTGGGCAGCGATGTAGAGAAACTGGAACCTTCACATGCTGCTGGTGGGAATGTAAAATGGTGCAGCTGCTTTGGAAAAGCCTGATAATTCCTCAAAATAGAGCCATGGTGTCTTGGTTACTTTTCTCTCCTTGCTGGGACAAAACACCTGATGCCCAAAATTAAGGAAGGAAAGGTTTATTTTGCTTATAGTTTGTGGAGGTTTCAGTCCATACTTGGCAGATTACAAGGCAGACTGGCACATGGCAGAGAGCTACAGCTCAGGGCGGCAGAACACAGCAAAGCAACAAGCACACACCAAGGCGGAATGGCCTCAAGCACCCTTTTCCTCTCCCTTACATATGCAAACTATCCACCCCAGGGCGGGTGTAGCTCTCACACCCATAATCAATCAAACTCTAAAAGCCTGCCCCATGACTGCATGAGGCTTTGGGGGGACACACAGACACAAACCATGACACATGGTTATGATCCTGCTCCTAGATACATATCAAAGAGAAAATAACACATGTGTCCACACCAAAACTTGTACAGAGATATTCACACAGCACTTTATAATAGCCGTAATAGCCAAGGAGGTGAAACTATGAACTATGACTATGAACAGATGAATGCATAACTACATGTGGGGTCTTGATACAGTGGTGAAAAGGATGCAGGGAAGAGTAGAGAGAAGGAGAAGGGGCAAGGCAAGACGTTTATATGTTTATCTAAGAATGTAAGAGATGAAGGTATAAATGGAAGGATTTCCTGCAAAGTTTTACCATTGGTTTCTTCCATGTGGCTAGCGAGGGAGATTATTCACTTTGCAAACATGTTGTTACTACATAAGCTGACTTGTTTCAGTTAGCCAATATTATTTCCTCACAGAATCTAAAGAAGTAAAGTAAAAAAGAGAAATTCTGAGTCATCCTAAACAAGTCAGTTTCTTGTTCCATGCTTCTGGGTGAAACCACAACCTTCACCGTGTTTCTGAGGGCTCAACCTGCACAGTCGGCCTCCTGCCGTGTGCCAAAAGCCAGCTTTGATGTGACCACCAGGCTGCCCCAAGTCCATCCCACATATTGCCTGACTCTTCCTCTCTGCAGCTCTGCCAGGACAGAAGGGCACAAACTTCCTTGCACTTAGAGGAAACAGAGACCAGTAGCGATGTGCCTGTGATCATGCCCCGAGCCTACAGGCAGCACGGGCACACGCTGCCATCTCCCTGCTGCCTGCCCCAAGACTCTGGAGCTCAGAGCACGGCCAGGTCTTATAGGTCCCACAGTGCATGGCTGCACAGGGAAGACTGCAGCCAGCAGAAAACTCAATTATTTCTAATTTCAAGCCAGGGATTTGAAGCAAATCAACCTACAACACACTTAGTGATGAAACAACCAGAGCTTCTCAAGGCAGCTTGCTATGGTGTGGATGTGGATTTGTGCCCCAAGGCTTCCTGTGCTGGAGGCTTGGCCTGTAGCATGGCAATGTTGGGACCTGGACCCTTTAAGAGGTGGGGCCTCATGGAAAGTGGGTACAGCACTGGGACAGTACCCTTGGATGGGATTAATGCTGGCTTCTTGTAGAGAGGTAGTTCCTGGGAGAGCAGGTTGATACACAGAGCAATGCTGGCCTCTCTCTCCCTCTTGCTCCTTCTATGGTGATGGCATCTGTCATGCTGAAACACAGTCACCACTTATGAGGATGTGACACAGCCTCACCACTTCTGAGAGAAAGAGGAGACACCGTGCTATTTGAACTTTCAGCCTCCAAGACCATGAGCTAAGTAAACCTCTTTTTTTGTGAAGTACCAGCCTCAGGTATTTTGTTATAGCAACAGGAGACTAAAACACAGCTGTTGTCATTACTTTTTTTCCTTTCCTTTAGTGCTTTGCAGTTGATGAAGTACATCAAGGCAGTCATGCAATGGTGTACCAACAACAAGCTTCATGTTCAAAACACTCAACATAGGGCTAGGGGTATAGCTCAGTGATTCCAGAGCTTGCTTAGCTTGTGTGATGTTTAGGTTTGATCCCCTGAACTACAACTAAAAAATAAACAAATTTAAAATAAATACAGTAAAAATCAACATAGATCACCCTATTGAGCAATCACAGGTGTCCTGCTGGGTTCATTTTGTAGGTGAGGAAACAGACACAGGTAAGCTCAGTGATGAGTCTAGAGTCATATACAGAAGAGGTGGGAGTGCTGGGGATTTAGCTCAGTGGCACAGCGCCTGCCTGGCAAGCGTGAGGTCATGAGTTCAATTCCCGGTACTGGAAAAAACAAAACAAAATGAAACAAACAAGCAAACAAAAAAATACAGAAGAGGTAGGACTTAAGCAGATGTGCCTGACTGTAGAGCCAGAACTCCAGGCCTATTTCTGCTGTACAGAGTGTGAACACATAATAACCCCACACATTGTTGTTACAGCTGCACATGCTTTCACAGCTAGAGTACATTGCATTGTTATTTTGTTGGAAATTTTCATTTTAAGGCTTAAATCTAGGGAGGCACAAACTTTTAGCATTCATAGCCCTTCAGTGTGGTGAAATTGGTGTGATATTTACAGATCAATAGTAAAATCTGCTGAGGTGAGTAGAACCCCACGGTACTTAACCTTTCCTTTACACAACATGCTGGAGAAAATTGCCAACACGAGGCTTCAATGAAGAAGGCCAGAAGTTCACCCTGCTGAATAACTGCTTAATTAGACACCTTTCAGAACACTGCAACCTCTTGCAAAGGTCAGCGTGACTGTGACAGCTGCGTAGATATATACCGGGATGAGGAGGCCGCACTGGCACACGATTAAGACCAGCGAATTTATAACATCTTGGTCATGATGTTCTGTGGCTCTCTGTTGTGATGACCGGAGGTACTGCCATGTGGTGGGGGAGAAGTACAATCAAATAACAAGCCTACTACAGGAACATCCTTCCTTTGTTTATGAGATGCATAAAATATCGTGTGGAAGGCAGGGTGTGTTCTCAAGGGTGGAGACGGAGAGGACAGAGAAAGAGACAGAGACACAGAGACAGAGATAGTCAGAGACAGAGAGAGGAGAATGGCTTGACTATGGTTTGTCTCCACCAAAACTCACGCTGAGGCTTAATTCCCCAATGCAAATTAAGCACTGCTGGGAGGTGGCACCTATTAGGAGGTGTTTGGGTCACAGGGGCGGAGCCCTCAGAAATACGTTAATGCCCTCAAGCTGGAGTGAGTTCTCACTCCTGTGGGACTGGGTTAGTTACCATGGGAGCAGATGTTACAGTGCAAGGCTTGTCTCACGCAGTGTCTTTTCTGCACATGCCCATGTCCCTTCCTCCTGCTGTCACAGCCAACCAGATGTAGCCACTTCATCATGGGCTCTGCAGCCTCCAGAGCTGTGAACTAAGTAAACCCCCTTTCTTTACAAACAACCCAGTCTCGGGTATTTTGTTATTAAAGTAACAGAAGAAAACCAGATGAAGACAGAGACACAGAAAGGGAGGGAGAGAAAGACAGAAAGAGAGCAAGAGAGAGATCCCTAACCTTAGCATTGAAGAATAATACCTTCCTAGGAGTTTCTCCTTAGAGTACTGAGTTTAGTGGCGATGTACTGAGCAATGGGCTATATTCCATTCTCCCTGAAATAAGAAAGAGGTTTCATGACTTGTAAAGTGTATGTTTACGAATGTGTACTGATAAGTGTGTGATCCCTGCGCTGGCCTCCTTGCTCTCCCGGAGCAGCAGTTCTTCTTGCATGAGACACTGACCAGGACAACAAATACTGTCACTGGCCTGCTGCTGCACTATAAGCTCAGGGCTAATTAGCAAATTTAATGGCAAAGACTGTGGGTTTTCCATTGGAGAATTCATCTTCCAACAACCCTGAACTTCCTTTACTGAAGGAGGGCACCTTGCCCTGGAGGTACTGCGCCAGAGGATGTTTAGCACTGTGGGGTTTTTACCGAGATTACTCAGGGGCCCTCCAGGAGGACAGAAGAGGGGCTGGATGCTGTCAACATGGAGCTTGAGTGACATAAATACATCAACAGTGCCACACACGGGAGGCTCCATCCTCCAGAGCGCAGCGCGAGGTGACCTCCAAAGGTCTCAAAGCACCTCATCCTCATGCTCTCCAACTTCAAGCTTCCAGCCAGATGTGGCAGCTTCTACACTGGTTCCAAAGTGGCTAGAGGAGGAGGGATCAGGCACGCCCCCGCGGGTGGGCTCAGCCAGCCAGGGGCACTCACCATCTGCAGGATGTCCGCAGAGACCATCTGCATGCAGCACATGGCCGTGGCCAGTGCGCAGACGATAGTGGAGAGGACATTCAGGGCACACACACTGAAGAGCAGGTCCTGTGGGCAAAGAGGTAGGAGGAGGTCAGCTCATCATGGCAGCCAAGACAGCAGAACCCTTCACCCTCTGTCAGGGACCAGGATACGAGCCGGTGAAGCCATTCGCTAACTAGTTTTGTTTTGTGCATGAGGTTTTATTTCAGGATCGAAATTGGCCTTTAATATGCATACATTTGCTTATTCTTTTATGTAGCTCATCAAACTATTCTTATTATTAAATGATGGCTTTTTAAAGTTTGATAATGATTACGTCATCAGTAAAATGTCTAAGAAAGTCTTTGCATGGTCAGTGTGTAAGAAGATGGATAATTTTTAACAATCACAACATGTAATTTAAAACTCTGATGAGTGATTAATAAAATGGAAAGAATTTAAATGAAATTCTTCATCTTAGTATAACTGTGAATGCAGTTGTAAGAATCCCTTCTTCCTAATCCCTGGTATCACTCGTTTGTTCTCCATTTTTATAATGTTTTCATTTTAAGAATGTTACATACATGGAGGACTGCACAATGACATAGCACTTGTCTGCCATGTGCAAGGCCCTGGACTCAATCTCCAGCACTGTCAAAAAAAATTACATTAGAAAGAACGTTACATCAATACAATCATATAGTACGTAACCTTTGAGAACTGGCTTTTTACACTCAGCATAACCTCTCCAGATTCATCCAGGCTGTTGTGTATATTAGTATCTGTTTAATGAGAGACTGAAAACACAGAAGGAACCAGTCAGATGCCACTGGAGAGGCAGGAAGTCAGGAAACATGAAGACAGTCTGGAAGTGACCTCAAAGCCCGAGCCAACAGGTTATGGCCATTTACTGGGCAGTGCCAGTGGTAGGGGACACCAGAGGCGGAAGAGTGAGCAGGAGATGATTCTGGTGGGTGGAAACACAAGATGCCAGCAGATAAGCCAGGAGTTCTTGGGAGAGAAGGAGCCCTAAAAGCAGAGTAACCAATGCGGTTAGGGACATGCAGAGGCTGAGCTGCCGGGGACCTGTTCAATCAATATGTTAGTGAATGGTTAGAAATCTGGGCCTGGAGCTCAAGATGGTGATCACAGCTGAGAAGCCATCCCTATGACCTTGATCTGTGGATGGCCCTGGTATACCTTATGGCCTCTGTTTATTCATTCCCACCTGCAGATCCACCAGTCTTCAGGGGATCAGGGCCCCCCACTGACTCCCTGCAGATGAGGACATTTATTTGATGAAATTATTATTCTCATCTTAAAGATACACCAGAGGGTAGGCTGACACAGTATACGAAACTCTTAAATGTCACTTGCCAGGAAGTTCAAAATTATAATTAAAATAGCGGCATCTGTTAATGCAATGTAGCTGACAACATAAATAATGCCTGTACTTTGTCTTCAGGTTTAGACATTTCAGCTTTATCGATCACACATTCTTTTGTCATTGAAACAAGTGCCCCACCCTTCTGGAAATAACATTAATTTTGCATATATTCCCCTTGGCAGCCAATTATAACTATTTACAAAAAGACACACAAACCATAGTATTTTACAGGAATGTGCATCCTGGGGAAATACTGTTTTCTGTCTCATGAAGTGTATTTATTTAAACTCATGCCAAAAAGATATGTCCCTGCATGTTGTTGTTTAAATGCTTGGCTGTTTTCTAAATAACTCCACACTGCTTAGAATTTTGTTTATTTGTTTTCTTAGACTTCTTTTCTTGTTTAAGTAATGCTTTTACCCCTTGCCAGCTTTATCAGAGTCTTCTATGAGCACTGAAATCCACGTTCTATAGAATCCCATTCCAAGGGCATTCAAAACAGCAAGTGCAAGAATAAAGTAAATCTTTCACAGCTGAAACTAAGTTTTGCTGCTGGATACATCTACATACTTACTTTTGAAGTTATTAACCCTAATAAAATTAAGAAAATCAAGAATAGAACAAATCATGTGTAGAACAAAGCCAGGAAAAAAATTTTAGATACTTAGGCAAACCTAAAAAATGATGTACTCTTTTAAAATCTTTCCAGCCCAGGTAAATTCTGGGTATTTATAACACAATTAACAGAGAAAGGAGACAGCATGCAAATGTATAGATGCCTGTGGTATGTTAAGAAATATTTAGAATTTAGGACTTTGATGCCCTTGCTTGCTGGCAATACTGATATAAAGAAGACAAACATATATTCATTTCTGCTAGCTCACTCATCAGTTTTTTTCTACGTGTTGTTTTTCTTTGAATAGCAAAAGAGGACTTGATAGGAAGGCATTGTCAGCCAAGATATAATGATGGAAAGCATAATAATAATAAGAGTCTCGTAGCTTAAGGCAGAAGTGATCACATTGGACAGTAATTGTCTGTGGAATGGATGTTTGGGCTCTATCTGAATTATCCTCTTAAATATCTGTTCTATTTTGTGTTTGTTGCTTTGTCATGCTAGACACCGGCCATGGATGCTTGCCTGATGCTAACTGCAGGTCTGTTAGAAGAGGCACTCTACCTTAGGCCTTCCTGTTCCTGGTAAATGCATCAAGAAGGGAAACTGTTGAACTACTCTTTACCTAGCTCATTTCCTCAGGGTGTGTTTGCAACAAGCAAAGCACGTAACAGCTCCCCATTGGCAAAGCATAGGTTCGCTGTAGAGGCGGAATCCCCAAGATTGGCATCCTTCTCATAACACAGTTCTCTGTGCAGGCATCCACGATGGGAGCTCTGAGACAGGAGGGACATGGGACGCTGACATGACCCAGAGTACACTGTGGCTACTGCTTGCCTCATGATGCGTGACTGTCTTTGTTTGAAACAGGAGTCTCGTGTCTTTTGGCAAAGAAGTAACAGCAAGTAGTAACAGGCTAGTCAGTGAGCTGAAAGGAGGGAAAGTCCCAACCCCGAAAAAGGAAGGAAGAGTACATCACTACCTCCATCATGGGAGAACAGCAACAGCAGAGTTCATCTTTACTACTGCCATGTAGTACAGTACATTTAGCAGTGCTAAATACAGCTGGTGATTGCTAAGTGCCTGTTTGAAAATTTATGGAATGTATGGAATTATCTTCTGAATTTTAACTATGCTAGAAGAAAGCGATATACTTAATTTCCAAACTTCCAACCACACACATAGAAAAATTCATCTTTACCTTTATATGAAGAAGGCAGAGACAAGGCTCAGTTTTAAAAAAAAGCTTTTGTTGGTACCAAGATCAGAAAGAGTGTGTATGTGTGTGTGTGTGTGTGTGTGTGTGTGTGTGTGTAAAATTGGTGATTTTATTTTCCATAAAATTGTTCAAGTGATGAGACACATCCTAGGACAGACCCTGGGCTAGTTAATTGTTTCTGTAGAGAGCAGTTATTGGGCCAGATGTTGTGGAGGCATGTCTGTAATTCTAGTACTCTGGGAGGCTGAGGCAGAAGGTTTAAAAGTTTGAGACCAACCTGGGCAATGGTAGCAACTTATTGAGACCCTGTGTGAAAAAAAAGTTTAAAAAGAGCTAGAGAGGTAGCCTAGCGTGAAGGCCAGGGGGTAGTCCCCAGCACATGCAGCGACCCCCTACCAAAAAAAGCAGTGTTGGATACAAAAGTCTTTGTGGCTGTCTTGAATACTGATCCTACATAAGGGGCTATAAATCTAAGTGAATTTCGCTTTCTTTAACCACTCACACTAATGCAAATGCTGCCCCAAGAGCACAGGATTGCTCCTCCCACAAAAGGTGTTCTTTGCTCAGTGGCATTTTTAATCTTAACCAAGGATCATGAGGCAACTTACATTTTTTCATAATGGTATAGAACTCCACCTTATTTCAACTGAAAACCTGTCCTTTGCCTGCTAAAGTTACAGTTTATAGCCTTTACTCAATAGCTATTAATTACCTAAACCATAAGAATAAATAGTTGTAATTCAAAGACTATTTTCTTATAGTTCTATCAAATTTTAAGAAAACTACTTGTCACTTTTCTGATACTCAGGAAAGGGTAACTAGGTTACAAAATGTGTATGTGCATGTGTGTTTACACACAAATATATATCATTCTGTGCAAGTGTGTGTATGTATGTGTATATATATATATGTAATTTCATTATCAATTCCAGATTTCTAAAACCACTGTAATCCTACTTAGCTTCTAGGTTTAAAACACTGTTTTTAAACATTTGACTTTATCCTAAATTTATGAAATTGTAAAACAAAAAAATAAGTATTGTTAAGAAATTTTTGGAAAAGAAAGGCTTGCACACATCTAAATGTACATAGCTCATTAATAGAGCAGGAAAACAGAGGACGTAGTAATAGAATAGAGAAACAGAAGTGAAAACTGAGGGGGGTGACCCTCATATGACAGCAGCGGTACACTGCGTAGCTTTTTTGGTGATAATTAGCTATCTTTGAAAAACAAAGAAGACAGCTCTAGATGTGAAAAGAACAAGACATAAAACTTCTGCCTCGAGGCCGAGTGAGCGAGTGAGCCGGTGCTCCCCAGCTGCTGGTACCAGGGTCGGAGTCTGTGCTTTACTTGCGCCCCGACCTCCTGGAGGTCACAGACACGGCATCCTGTGATCCCTGTTGGTGTGGACTGAGTCTCGCTTCTGTACGTGTCCTAAACTGACTGGAGACACAGAAACAGACGGGGTGCGACTTACTGACACTATGGTTCCCAGCTGAAAGCTGCGGGGAGAACCAGGTATTTTCAACTACTTCCTGGGGGCAGAGTGGGCCACCCAGGACCCCACCGCCATTGCAGTCTGAGTCTCTGCCCTCCGTGCACCCGCGGCAGACAGGAGTTCCTCACTCAGAAGCCCCGGGGACTGCTCTCGCCGGGGTTCGCGTGTGGGCCCTCTCTGCTTGTGCCCTGTGCCAAGTGAGCGGGTGCTCCCCAAGCTGCTGGTGCTGCGGTTCGAGTCTGTGCTTCACTGGTGCCCTGACCTCCTTGGGGTCACAGATGCGGGCAGTCTGTGATCACTGTCAGTGCCACCTGTGTCTGGCTCCTGTATGAGTCCTGAACTGACTGGAGACACAGAATCAGGTAG